TTTAGTTACTTCAGTAGAAAAATTGCATCCAGCACCCCGTTCTACTAATGCCGCCCTCCCGCCCCACCCCCGCTTTTACTAATCTTGCACTTGGATCCATTAGGCTATGGTGGAGGTGAGGTCATTCACACCCTGTGGCTTTCCATTTCTTTAATGATGTGCTTGTGCATAGTTTCTGACCTGGGAGTGACTCAGGGACCTGGCTCTGCCTTGGGGGTGAGTGGGGCATTGGCAGGCAGTCTGAAGTCACTTGTCCTTCTCTAAAACAGGGTAAGAAAACTTGGTCTTTCTCAGAGGGACTTGGTGGCATGCTCCACCGTAGAGTCAGGGCATGTTGCTCTGTGTGGCTGTTGCCAGCGGGGTGTTCCTCTTCCCTGGCCCTGCAGCCTCAGCCTGGTTCCCCCCATGTGGGAAAGGCACCGGAAAACAGCCAGGCTGGAGAGAAGGGGCATGCAGGAGCAAGCCAGGAGAGTGTAGCAGGAGCAGAGCTGTTGCCGGAGCTGGGGTGCCCCCAAGCTGTGTGTGGGATGTCTTCCACTCCACCCATTCTATCTTATGGTGCCAGCATCTCATGGCACCCCAAGGGTGCACCTCCAGGCAGGACCTCCAAAACCCCTGTATGTATCCAGTAGTTTCTCTCACACATTTGTGGAAAGCTCTGCCAAATTAATGGGCTACGGCACACCAGGCCAGAGCTGCTTATGTCTTCCCCATGATTTCAGTTTCTCTTCCTCCCAAACACAAACTTACGAGCAGGGTCAGAGCCGGGACCAGCACGTCCTGCAATGGCCCCAGGGATCTCAGCTACGTTTTGGAGCTAGTGGCCACGTAGCAGCACCCTGTGTTTGAGTGCTTCGGCAGTGCAGGGTGTTTACCTTGGCCGTCTCCCGGCTCACAGAGATGAACAGATAGTACAGCTAACAATGCTGATGAAAGTGCCAGGAACACTTATCTCCCTGCCTCGGCTTCAGCCGCCCTTTGGGTAGGAAGTCTACAGGGACCCCAAAGCAGAGGACTAGCCAGAAGCACTTGGATCAGGTGTCCCTGCACCAAACTCTGCCTCCTCGTCTCCTGCAAAGGCTGTCAGGCTCTGCCATGCCAGCTGGGACCCAGTGATAAGCCCTAGTATCACCAAGTCTCCTCCCAGCCATGTCCCAGCATGCCAGCAAAATCCCCCTGGCTCCAGAGGATTTCTGCCTTGTTTACTGCAGAATTAGCAGGACCAGACCCTCGTATCTCAGGGATATATTTTCAAAGCTGGGTTTTCTGAGAGCTAGAGATTAAGGCACAGCTTCCCAACAGTGGACACCCCAATGCCAGCAACCTTGCAGTGCTGCCACTTCCCAGCGTGGGGTCATGCTGAAGAGCAAAGCTTGGTCTGGACCCTACTGCTGCCAAGACAGGAATGACAAAAATTTGTGGGAAAAGTCAGCTGAATGCAGTGGCCCTGCCCACTGGGGCTGTGTCTGCTGGGAGCTTCCTGCTAGCCCAAAAGCAGGGTTATAGTCATGGTGGGAAAGGCAGGAGCTGGGCACACGTGGGGTTTTCATGGGCACCTGTCCTGCTCTGCCCCTGTGGAGGGTGAACCCCCCTCTCCCCACAGCATCCTCTGGCTGCAGGTGGCTTCCAGCTGGCAGCGTGGGGGGTGAGTGTGCGTCACCCTTTCCTAAATTTCAGTCACTCTGGCTCCTTCCTCTTCCTCTTGAGGAAGAGTTGCAAAGGGAACTGCTGCTTGAATGAAGGCTAAGTCAAAGTAGGTAAGCAATCCTCCCTGCTTCTTCAGAGGGAATAAAATACCACCTGGATTTTGCTCCAAACAAAACAAGGCTGGAAGAGTTCTGTCTGGTTACTGGAAATGGTCTCAGTCCTGGGGCTGATAAGCCAGCCTCTAAAATCCCTGGAGAACCTCATGGCTTTGTTATCCTGATAAACATGCTGTATTCCTTTTGGAAAATGAATTTGTTAAGCTGCTTACAGGCTGAAAGCGGCCAGCAGATATAAGTGGGATGTGAAACATATTCAAGTCTCCTTTATCCCTCTGCTGCAAGGAGTATTTTTTTAAGGGCTGACTGTAAATCCCAGTTTGGTCAGAAAAGAAACATAGCAAGCTGCTGCAATCTGCCATGCAGGCCAACAGTCTCTTTCCCAGAGGGAGCCAGGGAGGATGCCCAAGGTTGTACGTGATGTGATGTGTCTGCCACACCTGAAGGTGCTGGAGATGGGGTGGGGGGCAAAGGCCACTGTGGCAGTGCTGTCTCAGCACTCTCAGTGCCCTAGGTCTCTGCTGGTGGGGAAGCATGAACCTAGGCAAGGCATGAAGCAGGATGCTGGCAGCAATGCCTGCAGCTGTGCCCACTCCCAGCTGCAGCTGGGTACAGCGCTGTTCTGCCTGCCCTTGTGTCTTCCTCCATCATGACTAACATTGTGACATTAATCACTGCCATTTGTCATCCGTAAGATAAGCAAAACTTTTCCAAACACACCTGGGGGTTGTCTGGAAACCTGAAGGACACAACAGGGTGAACCATCCTCAGGGCCAGCACAGCACAGCACAGGCAAGCTGGTGGGGAGGAAGAGGATGGCTGCTGCCCATCTGTGGGTGTGGCTACACAATCAGCCTTGGCTTTTGCTTCTTCCTGCAGCATGTCGGGGCACTCAGACCCACAGACGTCCATGTCTGGTGTCCCTCCCCGGTACTGGAAGGCTGTGTTTGTGGAGTACCCCAATGCCTCGTTCATGCAGCCCAAGCCCAAGCCAGCATGGATGGGTAAGAAGCATCCACAGCAGGGTGAGCCCTCGCTCTCCTTGACAGTGGCCAAATTCATCCTGGGTTGGGTGCTGGCAGCATCTCGGCCAGAATGGGAAAGCACCTGGCTAGAGTCCCAGTACGGCAGAGCTGCTGGGGATGCAGGGAACCTTGCTGGTGCCAGAGCAGTTGATGCTGCCATGCTATGTGAGGTACAACTGATAGTTGTGCAGGTGGAAAGAACAGACCCTTTGGGGCCCATGGCTGGCTGTGAGCTGCCTGCACCCAGCTGCCTGACCCTGTTGTCTTCCCTCTTCAGGTCTCCTGGGCCCCACCATCCGAGCAGAAGTCTATGACACAGTGGTTATCACATTTAAGAACCTGGCCTCCCGCCCATACAACCTCCATGCTGTCGGAGTGTCCTACTGGAAGGCGTCAGAGGGTGAGTTGCACAGCACCTCCTGCTCTGTCACCTGCCAGGAGGGAGCACATCATTCCTTGATGCTGCTATTCATGTCCCTCTACGAGGACAGACAGTCACAGACATGGCTTAGCCTGGAGGAACAACAAGACCATGCCCAGCCCAGAAATGAGCTGAGCTGAGCAAGCAGCCCAGAGCAAATCCTTACTAGCTACAAAGGTAATACATAGGTTAAACCTGAGTTTGGGCTAGGAAGACTCTGCCCTCCAGCATCAGGGCAGGTGGTAGGTGCACAGCCCAACAAGTGAGTCTCCAGCTCACTGCTCTGAGACCAGCCACTGTCAGTGGGCGTCGGGCTGGTCTCAGAGTCTGGGATGGAGACAGGCTGTGCTCTGAGTTCGGGGAAAAGGCATTTCTGTAGCCCTGATGTGTTGCAGTTGAAGCTTCAGTGTCATCTGGCTGTTCTTTGGCTTTAGGTGCACAGTATGAGGATGAGACCAGCCAGCCAGAGAAGGAGGGTGACAGAGTGGATCCAGGGAAGACACACACATACATCTGGGAAATCCAGCAAAACCATGGTCCGATGGATGGTGACTCACCATGCTTGACCCACTCCTACTCCTCCAACACTGACAGTGTGAAGGATATCAACTCTGGTTTGATCGGAGCCCTGCTTGTGTGCCGACCTGGTAAGGACAGCACAGGATGGAGACAGGTCACATGCAATTGTGAATTGAAAAGCAGAAAAATCAAAGATGACTTCCAGAGACTGAACGTGGCAGTAGAGTCAGTAAGCTGTGGTCAACAACGGCACTTTTGAAGTTTGGCCCTTTCCTAAAGAGTCCCTTCCTAGTGCAGGAACCAAACACACTTGGGGTTTCCCTGCTGGAGAGAAATCAGTCGCTTCTTTCCTTTGCAAGATTTCAGACCACAGATTAAATCTTCTACCTTATACTTAAACCGTATCTATCTACATGAATTGATATGGAGGCATAGATGTTTGTCTTTCCTTCAGAGCTTCATCAGGCTGTGATTGTTCAGTGTCAGCCAGGGTGCTTTGTCAAACACGGCTTTGTCGGAAAGAACTAGAAGGGAGTTTGTATCAGCAAGGGTTAAGGATCAGGCAGGAAAGAGGCAGGACACCTGGGGCACTGTCTGATCCACAGTACTGGTGCTTGCTCTCCTTCCTTTGGCAAATGTGGAGGTGATGAAATCCTGACTGTTAATACTTGCTGGGTGCAAGGCACAAAGCAGTGTACCTGGGGTGGGATTGGTCACCCCTGGTTGACCCATCTCCTGGAGGTAGTTGTCTAGACCACTCTGTAGTCACTAGAGAAGAATGGGCAGGAGTCACCTCCTCCTAGGGTACTGTCTGCAGGCTCCAGTGACTCACCAGGAGCAGTTTCTCCACTAAGCAAAGTCTAGACGAGCACAGGCAATGGTGCTGATGAGAGGCTAGATAAAATAGGCTCTTCCAGATGACTAAGTGGATCCTGAGAGCCTGCAAGGGGAAGAAAGCACAAACTGACCTTTCAATACCTTCTGGGACCAGCTGCCCCTCAACCATGGGCTTTTGGGGACTTCAAGGCTGGAAACATGGCTCAAAACAGGACTATACCAGTTGTGAGATGAAACAAAAGCAATCCACAGCCTGGCCTTGATTTACCAGTTCTTGGAGGGCACAAAGGGAATGACCTGTGGAGGCGGGCATGGTGCTTGCTGACCTTTAAAGAGATCCATCCTGTGGCATCTTGCAGGGACCCTGGCGAATGATGGGAACAAGGAGGCGCAGCAAGAGTTTGTGATGCTCTTTGCAGTGTTTGATGAAGGTAACCACCCTGTTGACCAGTGTCGGACCCTGAATTCAGCCTGGTCTGTGGCATGTGCTTTGGCCATGGTGTGAGTGCAGCTGCTCAGCTCCCACACTGCCTCCTGAGGGTTTGATTCTTGTACAGCCCTCCCAACCACTGTGCTCCTGGTGCAGTACTGCCACTCCTTCTTCTGTTCCACAGATGCAGGGAGCTTGCAGCACCCCCAGCTCTCCTATCCCTGGCATTGTTCCCATCACACGGGCTAAAGCTGCAAGGGAGTAATGCCCTGTCACGTGCAATGGTCACCACCGCATTCATGCAGAGCTGTGGCCAGGTCTGCTGTGGATTTCCAACAGGCACCACACATCAGACCTCCCTGGATTTTGTCTTTCATACTGTTTCACCCCACTGGAAAGGTTTCCTTTTTCTTTGAAATGCTCTCAAGTGAAAGCTGACTGCATCTTCCTCTCTCCATAGGGAAAAGTTGGTACTCTGAGCCCAGCTCCCGGGCAGCTCCTCAGCCCCTGCTTCGCAACAGGACGGAGATGCACACCATCAATGGCTACATCAATGGCTCACTGCCTGGTGAGTAACGGTGTGCCGGGGACAGGAATGGAAGGCATGCGAGATGCAACGAATAGGGATGTAGCCTTGAGTCTGTAAACTCAAGGTAGCTTTTGAAAGGATGTGAGAGGGTACATCAAGAGGAGTTTCCAGGTGATGGATCTGTTAGGCTGTGTTCACCCCAGAGGGGCTATCACATCTCCACTGCTTGATCTGCCTTGCCCATTTAGAGTGTGGTAGGAACTCTTTCTAGCTATCTGTGTTGCCAAGTGCAGCTGACCTCTTCAGAGGACTCCAGGAAGAGTGCTGGTAGCAAAGTTTCATCTCTTGTAGCCCTGTGAATGAGGCTGGATGTAAAGTTGAGAGGAAAGTTCAGCTCTTACTAGCCTGGCTCTGACAACACACCTCTGCAGAATTTGGAGAATAGAATTATAGAATCATTTAGGTTGGAAAAGATCCTTGAGATCATTGAATCCAACCGTAAACCTGACGCTTCCAAGTCCACCACTAAACTATGTCCCTAAGCGCCATATCTACAGTCTTTTAAATACCTCCAGGTATGGTGACTCAACCACTTCCCTGGGCAAGCCTGATCCAATGTTTGACCACTCTTTCAGTGAAGAAATTTTTCCTAATATCCAATCTAAACCTCCCCTGGCGCAACTTGAGGCCATTTCCTCCTGTCCTATCACTTATTACTTGGGAGAAGAGACACCCATCTTGCTACAACCTCCTTTCAGGTAGTTGAGGAGAGTGATAAGATCTTCCCTCAACCTCCTTTTCTCCAGAAAAGCAAAAGAAAAGGCTGTTTGTGGTCTTAGTGAAGACAAAAGTTGGCATTTTCTGATGTTCTTTTGGGAGAAGGTCCAGAGCCACCTGAGAGTGAAGTATTTCCAAGGCAAACTGGGAAACATTGTCAGGGGAATCATTACCATCAGCAGCCTTGGTGAACCACACCCTGAAACTTCTCACCTGGATCTGGCTGTTCTCCAATAAAATACAAAAGCAAAACTCCCCTGAATTCCCTGTCCCAGTGGATCCATGGAGCTAAGAGCTGAGTAGATCTCATGGTCAGCTGCTGTGTTCGCACAGTGGGTTTCCCCTCGAGAAGGTATCCACTTCTGCCCAGCAACCCCCTGTCTGGCTGTGGGACCTGGCCTGAGAGGTGTTTGATGGACAGATGGCAATGCAGAGCTTGAGAGTCTCAGGATGGAGCCTCCACCCTGTCTCCTCCCAGGCTCTTGGGATCTGTTCCAGTCACCTATTTATCGCACTCAGTGCCAAAAACATGTGCTTGACTCTGTAGTTGACGTTGTTTGGCTTTAGCTTCCAGGAACTTGTTCTTGTTATTCACTTCCCTGATAGATTACAGAGCACTCCAGCACAAACTAATTTCTCCCCACAAAAATATTTTTACAATGCAGTCAAGTCCTCTCGCATTTCCTAAGCACACTGAACTCTTTAAGTCTCTCTGAGGAAGAAATTTTCTCCAGCCTTCAAATAATCCTGGTGACCTCTCTCTGCCCTTTTTGGGGTATTTCAGCTACTGCTGAGGATATGCTGGAGCCCTGCTGCAGATGCAATGTTTTAGTATCAGGCTTGCCAGTGTTGTGATCAGACAAATGATTCCCCTTTCCAGTTCCTGATTACCCTATTTGTAGAGTCAAGGAGCATATGTACCTCTTTTGCCACTGCATCCTGCTGTCACCTTCCATCAGCACAGCTCCCAAAGCCCTTGCCAGAGCCCCCCATTCTGTAAATCTAGTCTTATCTCAGGGGATGATGTGGCCTGCACCACCTGTTTTGCTCATACAGTCCATGTTCACATGCAACTTCTTCAGATTGAAGTCACCACCTTGCAGGGCAGGGGACTCTACTCAGCATGTGTCAGGCTCCAAGTCCATGACAGCAAGACTGGGGACAAGGGATGGACACAGTGATGACTTCTGGGTGCTTTCCTTCTCTCCTGGCAGGTCTCACACTGTGCCTCAAGAAGCAGGTCCACTGGCACGTGATTGGGTTGGGCACTGGGCCAGAAGTCCACTCCATCTTCTTCGAAGCCCACACATTCCTGGTGAGAAGCCATCGTCTCAGCAGCCTAGAAATCTCCCCTGCCACTTATCTCACAGCCCAGACCATGCCAAGAACAGCTGGCTCTTTTCAAATGTTCTGCCAGATACTGTCCCATCAGCAAGGTAACCTTATTCTGCAAGAGTTCAGGGAAAAAGTTTTGGGGATCGCCCAGGCTCAGGGTTCTATGCAATGCTGCAGCTCCAAGACACCTCCTGCTCCATAGTGTTACATCCACATGCAATCTGGCCCGTAACCAGGACGGCATAGGTTGACTCATGTGATGGCCCATTTGATGGGGACAGTAGTGGAGAGGACATCTCCCAAGCAGAGCCTGGGGGGTGTGTGCCTGTCCTAGCATGTCAGTGTGACCCTTTCTGCCTGGCTTGTCTGAACTCAGCTGGCATGGAGGCCATTGTGAAGGTGGAGGAGTGTATGGAGGAGCGCCTGATGAAGATGGGGAAGCTGTCAGATGAGCCAGAGGATATGGAGTACCCTGAAGAAGACGAGGAAATTTATCATGTGATCCAAGTGCGCTCTTTTGCCAAAGAGGAGCCTGTGACCTGGACTCACTACATTGCAGCTGAGGAAATGGACTGGGACTATGCTCCTGTGAAGCCAGTGTCTCTGAACAGGTGAGAGTGAGCATGTGTGCCCATGAGGCTGCTCCTCAAGGCAGCTCTGCCAGCTCTTCCCATTTTCTCCAGAAATTTATTTCCTTCTACCCAATCTGGACAGTTTTATTCTTTCTTATTAATGCTAACAGTATGGATGCAGGACAAGGATAATCTTGGGGAGGCCATGGGAAGGCAGGACCTGGCTTTGCTCCATTTTCCCAAATGCCCTGCAGAGGCATTTGTCTCCAGGGCATTTGTCTCTCTGTCGCCCAGTTCTCTTGGGGTCAGCCCCTTCTGAGCAGGCAGCAATGCCTGGAGACCCTTCTCACCCTCCAGCCAGGAGGCCCTGCACAGCCATGTGCCCACAGTTCCAGAGTGTGTGTGTCCTTGCCCTGTTTGGAAGGACCTGCTGTAGAAGGCAGAGGTGATTAGCCCCTGCTACTGCCCCACTTCTTGGAGGGAGAGGTGATGCAAGTGTGATATTGCAGTAGAATTATGTTAGTCAGTACCGCATGGCAACGACACTTGTCACCAGTCCTGATCACTCTGCTGACACAGGCTGTGTGGGCTGGGGCTGGCTTGGTAGTGGGGTCACCAAGTTCTGCCCTAGCTGGTGATCCCAGCCAGTGGCTGCTGGAGCAAGGCATGCAGGGCAGAAGTCCCCGCCTGCAGCACCTCACCTCACAGGGTAAGCCAGAGGAGGTGTCATCTCCAGCTTTGGGCTGGCCTTGCTCCTGGAAAAGAGCTGGGATGATCAAGAAAAGGCAGCTGCTCTGTTGCCTTATGCCTGCATATTGAGGGTGTTCCCTGACAACCTGCCATGCTCTCAGCTCTCAGTCACCGCTTTCCTCCAAGACAGGCCAGTGTCAGGCAAAGGCTGCTACAGTGCAACCTAGTTGAAGCTTTCTCCACTAAAGAAGCACTGAATCACTTGAAATGTTAGTCCCCAGGATGCGTATTGTGATTACAGGGATGGGTGTCCTAGACAGCTGTGTGGGTCCTTAGATGATGGAAGGTCTTGCTCCAGTTCTGACAGCATCCTGTATATGGCCATTTGTTCTTTCTCTGCTCTGCCTGCAGAAACATCACGAGCCTGTTCCTGGAGGCTGGCCCTCAGCGGATCGGTTCCAAGTATAAGAAAGTGATGTTTGTAGAGTATGAGGATGCAACTTTCAAGAAGCGCAAGGTGTCAGATCAACTGGACAAGGGAATTCTGGGGCCTGTCATTAAGGGGGAGGTTGGAGATCAGTTTAAGGTAAGAGAGAGATTGCTTTCCACAAAGAGGGTCTGGAAGGGGAAACTTCAGAGCTTGATGCTATTCCTCCTAATAGCACTTGGTTTGTGGCTAAGGTCTGACATAAGTCCTTGAGGTGCTCTATCACGTTTGGTAATGTCCAAAGTTCACCAGAAAGGCAGATGTTACTGAAAGCTAAAGCTAAATACTCTCAGTGAGATCTGCAGAGATGCCCAGAATATGGCCCAGTCCCCTTGATTTGACTTCATTGCAGGTGTCTTAGCAATCATGTGAATTAATCTATGATGCATGGCATCCAGCACCTTCCTCTGAGGCAGGAGTGTCTTCTCATCCTCCACTCTTCTGCAGCTGTGTGCTCTTACCATACAGTGTTGGGGACTGTCTCTTGTGTCTTCCCAAGCGCCTCTGCTGACCACTTGACTTGGTTGCCACTGGGAGGAACGGGATGGTTTCCAGGAGCTTCACATTTCTGTTCTCTGCCTGTGCTTCCCTGTGCAGTTGTGGGCATGGAGCTGAAGGTAACGTGTGGCAAAGCTCCAACAGAGCTATTTAGAGAAATAAATGAAGGGCTTCAAGCAGTGAAGTGGGGAGCACTTTTGAAGCTGTTGACTGCTGTGCATACTTAGTGTCTTGGTCCTCTGAGGCCTCTTGGATTGACAGACATCTTCTGTCTCATATGCAAAGTGAGACTAAAACCAGCAACTTTCCCTTTAATGAATCTGATATTTTCATGCCTTTCCTAAAATGGACACCTCCTGGAAAGATGGACAGTGTAGATTGGTAGAGAAATAAACAGTAGTTTCTTCTATTGTGACTCCTACTTTGTGGTCCCAGACACATCCTGATTCCTCCCCGTTGGACACTGGCAGGTAGCCAATCCCAGAGCGCCACTACCCAGTATTTCCTTCCCTGTGAGGACACTGAGGGCAGCCTCGAGGGCTCACAACATTCAGAAAGCATTAAATATTCCTACTGGCTGTCCTCATTTCAGATCGTGTTCAGGAACCTGGCAAGCAGACCATACAACATCTACCCTCATGGCCTCACCAGTGTAAGGCCATACCATGCCATGAAGCCCTCTCAAGGTAAGGCAAGCCATGAGACTTTGGGGCATCACTTGGCCATTGACATTCTTCTGGGCCAGGAGAGCTTCCTGCAGCCAGTGGTAAGACTGGTTGTCCAACCCATCCATCCAAGCACCTGAGCCCTGCAATCCTGGAGATGATGATGAGTCTTGGTTCGTGTCCCCCTTGGTGCCATGTGACCCTGCCTTTAAGGAAGGTTTGGATGATGTCTGGAAGAAGGGGCATTGTCAACCAGGGAGCTGGGACCATGTTGCTTGGTCCATCCTGGAGTCTTCCACTTTCTGATGAGGCAGGAATGACCAATTTGCTTACAGTCCTCATTCCCTGGGCATCCCCTGCCCTGATTTAATGTGGGGGGGTTCATTATGATTCAGACCCTCCCTCTTTCAGCTTCGCAGTTTTTGCTCTGGGGTTGTTGAGTTAGCAGGTTCGTTTCCCAGAACTGCTTTACCCCTGCCAGCATGCTCCCAGGATGACGACTTGTGCAAGGCCATCTCACATCCCACCAGGGCAAAATCACACCCCATCCCTCTCCTGTCCTCCTATCTGCCCTTTTGGGTGCATTTCAATGATGGGAGCAATTGCAGAGGCTGGAGAAAAGCTCCTCTGCTGCAGCAGAGGTGGCAGAACCAGGACAGCAGCTGCTAAGAAGTTCAGCAAACTTGTTCAGCTTTATGATCTATTACTATCTAAATTAAAGTTTTCCTTCAGAAGAGTCAAAAGGGCAAAGTGGCCCATTGGCTGGCAGAACTAAAGGAGGCAAGCTACACAAGGAAGTCGGGAGCTCTGTCCCCCTCTGTCAACATCCCCCAGCCAGACATGGCTCACCATCTTTGCCAGTGATTCAGCTCTGTGAAAGCAGGCAAATTGTGGTCCTGGAGCCACAGGGATGATGGGAGAATAAATGAAAACCTAGGGGAAAATAAATAGAAAGAGCTACTCCTACCCTGACTGATACAGAGCTTTGCAAACCATGCTCTCACAGTGGCTCAGCTGGGCACTTGTAGCAGAGAAAGGTCTTTTCCTAAGACCAGTGCAAGATTCTGCTGAATGCTCAGATGATTTATTTGCATTTGAGTTTTCCTTCTATTCCTTCCAGATCTCCTTGCTTTTCTCATGGTCTAGCTGTATTTGCTTAAAAATCTATCTTTCCTTGCTCTGTTTCTCATCCATTTCAGCCCTGCCCAGCTCTGTACCTTCATCTGCAAACACTTCTAGGCAGCCCATAGCCCAGACACAGCTGAGACTGGGCAAATTTTCCAGTTTGCAGGAGTTTCAAGGGCTATCAAGATTAGGCATAGGCCTCTTCATCTTCACCTCGTCCCAGGGGCTCCTTTTGTCCAGATCAGCTTTCCATGCAGGCAAATGCTAACAGCCAGTGTGTCATCCAAGGGTGGGCATGGGTTTGAGTAGTTTTCTGTGCAACTTGTGGGGTCAGGAAACCTCCTTTCTGAGCTCTTTTAAAAAGTGGGATCACCCCTTGCAGGAGCAGCCCAGACCTAACTAACTGCCCTTGGGCTGTGTGTTGCCAGATAAGAATATAAAGGACATTCCTATCCTCCCTGGCCAGTCATTCACCTACAGCTGGAGGGTCACCACTGAGGATGGGCCAACGAAGTCGGATCCTCGCTGCCTCACCCGTTTCTACTACAGCTCCATTAACCCGGTCCGAGACATGGCCTCAGGCCTTATTGGGCCTCTTCTGATCTGCTTTAAGAAGTCCATGGATCAGAGAGGAAATCAGGTAGGTCCTTCCTTTGTTGCCTCAACTGCCAGGCTGAAAGGCTGGAATAACTGCGGTGGGTGAAATATTTGGGTAAACCCAAATTTGCCTGTCCTGTTCTCTTCAACCCTACCAACAGTTCCAACGCCTCTGCCTTCCCCATCCTCCCTTGCATGCTCCCTTCTCTCCAAACCTGGACCCTAACTCCTGTGAAATAGCAGTAAACTGTTCCCCATCACCCAGAATAAGACCTGGCAGCTACACTGGGCCCCAGGTGTGCTCTGACCAGACCAGGAATAACCGCTTCCCTCTCCACCTCCAGATAATGTCAGACAAGACGAGGTTGGTGCTGTTTTCAGTCTTCGATGAGAACCACAGCTGGTACTTGGAGGAGAACATCAGGCGGTTCTGCACTGACGCAGCCCATGTGGATACCCAGGACCCCCAGTTTTATGCCTCCAACGTGATGCACAGTGAGTGCTCAGCCAGGGGCTCCCTGCAAAGCCCTGGAAAACACAGGCTCATCCATGCCCCAGGGAACAAGCAGGGAACATGCAGCAGATCAGCAGCCATGGGGGAATCAGATTCTGATGAAATGTTTCACACCTGCTCTCTTCCAGCTATCAATGGCTTTGTGTTTGACAACCTCCAACCAAAACTCTGCCTGCATGAAGTTGTGTACTGGTATGTCCTGAGTGTTGGGGCCCAAACAGAATTCCTCTCAATCTTCTTCTCTGGAAACACATTCAAGCACAACATGGTCTTTGAGGATGTGCTTACCCTTTTCCCATTTTCTGGAGAAACAGTCTTCATGAGTTTGGAAAAGCCAGGTTAGTAATGTGCTATTCTATAAACCATGGGCTTGGCATCACAGCAGAAATAAGTAAGCACCTCCAGTCAGGTCTCTGGTACCCGACTGCATTTTGGCAGACCTGAGAGCAAAGGGATGCACAACCTGATGGAACAGCAAAGTGAGAGGCAATGATTAAATCCTTCCAAAGCTTAAATCAAAGAAATTAAATTACTTTATTCTACTTCATTAATAGGGTGTCTTAAGGTCACATATGCTGCCAAGCCAGTAAGCTGGCTGCAGTAACATGAGCCCCAATGGACCTTGCATCTACACCCTTGGCTCCAAGTTCAGAGGTCAAGGGGAGCAGCAGTGCTGTCCCTGCTTTGGGTTCAGCCACTGGTCACAGCATCCCATTTATCTCCACACCTGTGCAAGGACAGAAATTGCAGCCATGGAGCAGTCCTAGAAAGGATTTTCTTCAGAGTTTGGTTTTATTTCCCCCCACTCAGTATTTTTCCCTTAGCATTTGCAAAAGCAGTGCCGTTAACCAGTTCCTCACACACAGAGAAACAGAGAATTTACCATGTGGTTGGAAACAGTGATACGATGGTCATGAGCACTGCACCCTAAGCCAAGCTGACAGGGTTTCTAGATACCCCAGGAAGCTTTCTAAAACCCAGCCAAAGGTTGCATCTGCTTGAACTCTGATTTTTGCTTGCTGATCTGAAGCAGGCAAGCAGCTCAGACAGCAGCAGATGACAGCTCTCTCCAGTGTCAGAGCCTGGTTATTACATATCTCCTCACGCACTCTTGGTGCCTGGAGAAGAAGCACTTGCTGCGGGGAGCAAATGCATTGACTAGGGATGTGAGCAAGAGGTAGCCTTTTCATTTCTTTCTCCTTGAGTCAGAGAGACGAGACAACTGTGTCTGGGAGAGAGGTGTATTTGACAGCACCAGCATGTCTTTGGGGGTGGATTATGGTGATTATTTTGCAGCTGGCAGTAATCCTGGAGGCTCTGTGGGTTCTCAGTGCATTAACTGTTCTCACCAAGCTATTGTTGGGGCCTCGCGGGTGTGTGTAGCTTGCTTAGCTCTGGCAGGAAACACCAGCCCTGCTGATGGTACTTGTCAGGACTGGATCTGATGCTGCCAGCAACCTTAATCTCTTGTAAATCCAGTGTAAAATAGCCTAGGGATTATGAAAACATGAAATCACTACCATGAACCAGAGGCTGCCAGAAAATATAGGTTGCACTAGTGAGGGAGCAGCATGGGGATGGCAGCTCTTCTGATTTCTCATTGTGGTGGGCTGATGGTGGCCTCTTGTCCTCTCTTGAGACAGGCATCTGGACGCTGGGGTGCTTGAATCCTTATTTCAGAGATCGAGGGATGCACGCCAAGTTCACAGTCTTGCAGTGCCAGCATGAGCAATACCCTGATGGGGAAGATTATGTGGATTTTGAGGAGGAGGAGGAGGGCGTTTTTGACTTCCAACCCAGGGGCTTCTCTAAAAGAAAGAGATGGCACAGACCATGTGTGAATGAGCAACTGAACAATGTCACCTCTTCCAGAAATGAGACAGAGAAGCGAAGATTGTGCTTAACAGAGCACAGCTATGGTGCCCTCCTGAGCAATGGCAGGATTTCTGATCCCACTTCCAATGGTACATCAACACTTTTAGGAACAATCCCACATCCACCTGATATTTCCATGTCTTCTCTGCCAGAGAAAAACTATGAGCCAGTGTCCTATGAATCCCTCCTGGAAGACGAAGAATTGTCAAAAATCATCAGCCAGGATGAAGGGTTTGAAGCTCTCCCACCTGGAGAACACTTGGCGAGTGTCACTGGGAGGATCCATGGTACTGTGAACTCAGAAGAAGGTCAGCACCGGCTGCACCAAGCCACGCAAGCTCCAGAGGTGCAGGAGCCAGTAAAAATTACAATGGTCCACTCTGGTGGTACATTAGAGCTCTTGGAAGCAGAGCCTCAAAAGACAACTACTCATGCAACAGGCTTGTGGGACTCAATTGCTTATACTGCTAGCAAAGCTCCTCTTCAAGAGAATAGGAGCTCATTTCACCAGAATTACCTGGAGTACAATCTGGGACTTCAAGACACTTCTTCACAGGGTGCTGAGGACAAGTTGCTAAGAGGGGCTGATAAAATATCCTTGAATCTCTACGAGTCAAAGGAGACAATCAATACAGAACCAGCTTTAAGTACTGATCATAGTTCTTCCTCCACACTGGACAATCTTGCATCTTCAGTCAAGACAGAAGACAACAGGTCTTCTCACACTGTGGTTCACAGTCACAACAGAGAAAGCAATTATTCATCAAATGAGCTAGATGCTAGGCTGGAAAAAAGACCTCACAAAATGGTTTCACAAGGCTTTTACGAATCTTTTGAAGAGAAAAATATTTCTTTCTCAGACCTGGGACCCAGCAAACCTGTACAAGAACGAATCCTCACAGATAAGAGTAACTCCTTGACTGCAAAAAGTGGCAGAGAACAAGAAGATAGTGAACTTGCCAAAAGCACAAGCCTTCTAGAAACCACTTTTGCACACACCAATGACCTTGAGCCTTCCAGCTATATAATGACGGAAGAGAGAGATGAACTAATCTTGGAGGCAGTGTTTCAGGATGCTACATCTGCTAAGGAATTGCCAGAGATGGACAGTCTTGCCTTTCCTGAATCAAACATCATGGCCAATGACACAAGGCAGTTCCCAAATGCTTTCTTAAACAGCCCTGAGCAGTTTCTGAGACACAGAGCTCCAGCCCCGAGCATGAGTGGCCCCAACTGGAGGCCTCAACAAGCCAAGTCACTGGAGAGCAGAGGCTTGATGCATGGTCTGGGTCTTCCCAACACCAGTTGGTCTGGCAGCAGGGTGTCCCTCTCTGACAGTAACAGGGCAGAGCTGGATCTGGACGGCCAGACCCCTGAGACAGCAGTGAAAAAGAAAGCCCCAAAAGCATGTGGAACTCATTCCCCTTTTTGCAGTGCTCGCTTCAAAAAGAGGTCCCTTACATCCAGTAACACTGTGCCTGAGGTGATGGGGGCCCAGAAAAGTCTGGAAGAAAAATCAAACATGATTGAAGGGAGACTACACTCGGGCAAGGATGCTTCACAGGCTCTGCTTGGAGATAGTGCTAGTGAGATGCATTCTGAGAGGAGGCCAAGCACAGATCGGGATGTACAGAGCAGCAGTGAGGGGGTCCAGCACAGCACACACTCCTTCCCCACATGGGGAGCACTGGGGAATGAAGTAGTGATGGCAGCAAGCAGCTCGGAAACGCTGGCTACTGCTGTGGTTGCAGAGCTGGCCTCAAACTGGGACAGGACAGCGGGATACGCTGGGGACTTGCAGAGCGCAGCTTTGGCTGAGCCACAGCCAGGAAGAAGTGCTGTCTGGGGGGCTCCTGGGAGTGAGCAAGCTCAGGGTAGAAGCCAGATGGAGGAGGAGACAAACTCTGTGGAGCAGCTGGGTCAGTTTGGTCCTCAGCCTCAGCAGCTCAAGGCCAATGCCATGAAGGACTATGTGCCTGAGAGCATGTCTGGGCAAAGCCCAGAAGAAATCCCCATAAAACCAGCCTCCAAAGAGAACTATTCCTTGTTCTCAAGCAGTCCTCATCACAACCACAGCACTACCAAAAAACTAACCAAATACGTGCAAGCCAGTCCAGATGGATGGCAGGTGCTCAGTGGGGAAGATGTCCTCAGCGAAACTAGGAAGAGAGACGGCCAGGGCCTAGGAAAGCCCAAAGAAGATGGCGAAAGCAACAGCACAGCTGGGAAGAGGAACCATGGCCCAGGACACAGGGAGAGACCAGCTCTGAACAATGGAACCCTTTCCAGCCCCTCGAGGCTAAAATCTCACAAGCCAGACTACGATGAGTATGGTGACACAGAGCAGACCGTGGAGGATTTTGACATCTACGGGGAAGAGGAACACAATCCACGATCCTTCCAGGGGGAGGTACGGCAATACTTCATTGCAGCAGTGGAGGTGATGTGGGAATACGGGAACCAGAGACCCCAGCACTTCCTAAAAGCCACGTAAGTGTGACTGTCCCTCATGTATTCTTCCTGCACTGAGTGAGTCATGCAGTTGGCATATGAGTTGGCATGTCCTGGCAGGCAGGATCACAGGTGTATGACTGTATGACCCAGCCAAGCAGCCCAGGGGAAGGATGCTCCCAGTGCCTCCTCTCCACCTGGGGAGTTTTGTAACTCCAGCAACCTTGAGCTTCCTTGCAAATGGGTCAGGGATGCTCTAGGCTCTGCATCACACCTGCCCTGCAGCTGCACTGCCATGGTTGCCCTCCCTGTGGGACACTATCACCTGACTTGGTTAACTGCCCTCACCCCAGCAGGGACCCCTGGAGCAGCAGAAGGAAGCCTTTCCAGCAGTACCGCAAGGTGGTTTTCCGAGAGTACATAGACGATTCCTTCACACAGCCGCTGCTGCGGGGAGAGCTGGATGAGCACTTGGGCATCCTCGGGCCATACATCAGGGCAGAAGTTGAAGATGTCATCATGGTGAATTGAAACTTCCCATTTCCTATAAAATCTGAAATCCCCCCATTGCTGGCTGTGCTCAGCCAGAGGGAGTGCTGAGGTGGCCCTGCAGGCTCTGCAATGCCCATAGGTTCACCTTCAGGGCTCGGGGGCAGGAGCTGCTCTGTTGACACCTTCCATGGTATGCAGATGGTACCATGTTGGGAGGCAAAGCCACCATCCAGAGGGACCTCAGTGGCTGGAGGAATGGGCCAGCAGGAACCTCAGAGTGTTCAGATGCAGAGCCCTGGACCTGACACAGACCCAATCCCTGCAACAGCACAGCCCAAGCAGCTCCTGGGCTCCATGAGGAGCCTTTTGGGTGAAGGGGCTGTAAAAAGGGTAATAAGCTAAGCAGGATTCAGTACAACTTCTTTGAGTGCTCTATGTAAGGGCAGGCTCAGGCTTCCCTCACCTCCAGATGTCCTTCAGCACCCACCTAAGGAAGCGGTGAAAGGCTCTTCACCAGGCTCAGGACTTCTATGCCTGGAGAAGTTGCCCAGTTTTCACTGAAATCTTCACCAGGATGGATTCAGCAGCTTTGGGCTCCAGAGACAGTAGTGTAGCTGACCTTGCTCCCATTAAGCAGGGAGAGGGTTTCATCCTGCTGACATGACCAGGATGCACTTTCCACTGGGGATCATACTGCAGAGCCACAGCTTGTAGTTCAG